TAAAATAATATAGGTATCTAAAAATTATGAAACCAATTTTGTTAAGTTCATAAAATTGTGCTCTATCTGTTAGTGTATTTAGTTCATATATATACTAGTCGATACCAGGAGCTATTAAATTATTTGAGAGTGCTTAATATTATTAGATTAAATATTATAGGAATTTTTATGGTAAAATGGTGATAGCATTAGCTTTCAAAATTTTACAGTAACATCACGATATTATTACGTGCTCACTGTAATTTTTGTAGCTTTAGAATATATTTAACATAAGGATAGTTAAATGCTCTTTGTTTTAAATATACATTAAATCATTAGTAGAAATAGAGATATATCCTTCAATTGTAAAACTAAGTGTTTGTTAGTTGAACTCAACACTTTACTTGATGAAGATGATAGTTAGCTTAGTATCTTAGTCATTAGAGCTAGCTTAGTAGTTTACCATGTGTATTCTAATTTTAAGAGTTGTTGTTGCCAAAATGCTAAGTGTTGCATCATCATCGTATGCATGTAGAGAACGAATTGGTGGAGATCATGATCATCGGAGATCACGAGTTCAAGGAGGTGATCGAGGAGTATGAGGAGGAGGTCCCAGAGCCGCCACTGACTGGCCGAGTTGATACCGCGCCTGTTCAAGGCAAGCCCCAGTGCATAACCCTTATTTTAAATAATCACTGGATATATATATATATGTGATATGCATTTACATTACAGGCTTATTGTTGAAACTATATGCATAGATATACCTACCTATGAGTCCTACTAGCTTAGGCCGCGTAGATGCTATGCTTAGGTTTTTCGGTAGCGTGAGTAATTTACTGTTACTCGCAATAGGTGATTATTAAATATTACTCTCATGATAAAATAGTGAAAAGAAATAGAGACCGGGCAGAAATATGGTACGGGTATTGGTGGATGTAAGAGGTTGTGTCCCGTGGCTAACGGAGCAAAGCTTGGTTACACTGTTTTCCCTATCCGTGTCGGTTAAGGACCGACAGTTGCATTGAATTCTAGTCAGGTCACAGACTTATTATCCTAAGCACATACTTGCTTATGGTAGCGGGAAGGCTCGTTGCTCTCTTGTCGTGGGTTCTGGCTCTTTCTGAACCGACTGATTGGAGGTGGGGATAGTGGAGGTCTAAGCATCACACTGAGTCTAGGACTCAGATGTGGGGGCTTAGAGTCCAAGTTTGGACGGAGACCTGGACCCCTTAACAGGAGAGTGGTGGGTTGGTCCCACTTGTGCCTGAGATATAAGCGGAGCGTGTGTTTCGGGGTACCCAGCTAGACTATATTGATTAATGAATCGCTGTGTAATACAATTCGACTTGTCTACGATGCAGCATCGTAGTAATAATTGAAAGATGAAAGATGGTAAAATAGATCTGATTGCTCAACTATTGCTTGAAAGTAGAACATGTGCTTACATAGAATGGTTAGCTAATGAACTAATCATGACTGCTAATAAAACACATACATAAGTATTCACTACTAGTATTGTTTTTTTTGCAAAAAGAAAACCCAGCAAACCATAAAGCTTATCATATCTTTTGGAGTCAGGAAATTATTCCCACTAGTCGGGTAAGTCTTGCGAGTACATTGTGTGCTCATGGTTTATTTACCCCTGTTGCAGGTGCAGCTTGAGAAGTAGCTGTTGTGTGGAGGATTATTCTAGTTGGCACAAACGGATCGTTGTATCTTATCGCTAGATGTTTATTTTAAATTTCGTTGTTTAAATTCCGCACTATGAACTTGGTATTGTAATAATGTATTTCTGAGAACTCTTGATGTATGAAATGGACTAAGTATTGTAAACTCGTTCTCATTATTGGATCCTGGAGAAAAAAATGTGGATTGTTCGAGTTCTCCCTTGGGGTGTGCTCGACGGAACCGTTCGATGTAGCTTGTTTTCGGGGTGCTTAGTGTCTGCCTTCGAAAGCGTGCTATTTCAAAGCGGTTCTGCCACAGTATAAAAGTAACCAGGACTTAGGATGACTTAGAAATTATTCGTGATTCGTGATTTAAAATTGCCTTTTATACTTTAAGATAGAGATATTAAAAACCATTGAAGAAATCCAACCGAGTGCTCCCAAGTTTTTTTAGCCACTTGAAAAAGTTATTGTTTTACCAATTGCTTTTTTTAACTATTAGGGGATCGAAGATGCTCTAATGTGCCAAAATAAATTGGAAAAAAGAATGGAGAGAAAAAGACTATAATGCCCATCTCATATCCTAAAGCCTTGTGGCCTCCTGTGACTATGTGAGACCGTTAAGATGCTAAAAAATGGTATATTTAGATTTAAGGGTATTTTTGATTTTTCACACCTGCAGTTTGACATCGTTAGAGCCCCATCTGACGGCAGTGATATGGAAGGAAAAAATTGGAGCAGTGGCGCTGAAGTCCACCGAACTTTTTCAGTGGTTCATAAGGAATTATGATCTTTTATAATGGCTCACAGGAAATTCGCTCTTGCTTTGTTCCTCGAGCACGCAAGCATGTGCTGTCGCCTACCCCCTATGAGTAGGGAGGTAAGGCTAGCAGGAATACACCGCTGCAAGTCCCCTCTAGTTCCTTCGATGTGATTTTAGATAAAAAGCAGATGAAGTTAGATGTGTTCTAAGGACATTGGCATGTGCAATGATGTTTAATTCTTGTTTTTATTGAGGTATTTGGGCTGGGCAAGATTAACTACTTGTCGGATACCATAAAAAGGGATACCCTAAGTAAGAACAAAAAAATTGCTTAGACCTTGTAAATATCAAAGTCAAGAGACAACCACGAGGCCTCGCCCGAGGCCCACGCCACAAGGCCTCGGACGAGGTACCAACTCTCCGCCTCGCCCGAGGCCTCGGACGAGGTACCGATTCTCCGCCTCGCCCGAAGCCCCGCCCGAAAGGCCTCGGACGAGGTGCCGATTCTCCGATTCGCTCGAGGCCCCGCGCCACGAGGCCTCAGACGAACTCTCAGTTACCGACTCGCTCGAGGCCGGCTCGGCATCGACCCCATCACCACCGCCTTGACCAATTTCCCTGATAGGATGTCGCATCCAACCAACACGTCCAACCACTCCCAGAACATCATCGGCAGCGTGCGCAGAAGATCACAATGAGTGGCGCAGACGAGACGAGAGTCACATCGGCGCCATGCAACCGGGGACAGACGAGGAGGTTACCGTCATTGTGGTTTCGGTGATTGTGCCCACGACCGACACCCATGCGGCATCAGGTCGCTTAACCCCACCAAGGGCGTGGAGAGTCAAGTACAGGTCCCTGTAGCCTCGGAATCAACGAACAAGACCAACTGCTCCCTCCGAGCCTCGGCTATCCGCTTCCGGGCTCCTGTAGCCTCGGGACTTGTGCCTGCCAAGCCCCCCCACGATGGTTCAGCCTCTGCATCGACTGGGCCTCGGTTCTCTATGTTGTCAACACTTTGGCCTCGGCATGTCGTCCGCAGAACGCGCCATACCCTGTGTCAGGTTACAGGAGCCCCCACGTCGTGCATAAGGCCTAGCTATTGTAGCCTCGAAATCAGCGCGCCCGCGCCATCGCATCAACCTGGCCTCGGCACTCCGCGCCGGTCAAACATACAGCGACCAGCACGCCTCCAACAGAAGAAGGTACGCCTGCCACCATAGGAGCTCCCACGTCGCACAAGACCAGGCGTGATCGGTGCGTCGCTCTAGAGTACCAAGGACAGGACCGCTCCATCGACCGTACCGCCACAGTAACGAGCTGCAGGGCTCGAACATACCGCCTCCGCTCACAAAACGCCGCGTAGCGAACACATGTATTGCCCCTGCCCCCCTTCAACTATAAAAGGGAGTGACCGAGGTCGTTTCTAGGGATGAGCACACACCCAACACACTCACGGAGACATCGCTCAGATAGACACACACGCAAGCAACGAGCAACACTCTGTAATACGCACGCTCCCTCATTGCAAGAGATCAATATCTCAAGCAACACACGCCGCTCTACGCAGAGACCTGGGACTAACTCCCTCTCTCGCCCTGCTTGTAAACCCCTACTACGAGCACCTCGGTGCAAGGAATACAAGATCGCTCTCCCAGACTTGACGTAGGACACCTATTGACTGAACCAGTATAAATCTTGTGTCTCTTTGCATCACCATCCGGGATAGGGACACGCAGTACATTTTCACTCGTTGGTTGAGGACCCGCCGGTCCAAAACACCGACACTACTACTTCCTCCATCCAGGTATAAGATATTTTGTCATTTCTAGATTTGTAGCTTTTATTATACATGTAAATATAATATGTATTTAGGTGTATAGCAAAATTTATGCTAGACTAAAATGTCTTTTAGTTTGGAACAAAGGCTGTATATTGGACTGGTGCCAGTTGCTGGCTTGCTGCGCCGCATAGGAGGAGGGCCGCGCTTTGGGCCGCGCGTGAGGGACCATGAGTCACGAACCGGTGCCTACCTCTGTTCAACCGCGGTGGCGCAACGCGGCGGCTGGCAGGTCTGCGGGTGCGGCGCGGTGGCGGCGGAGCCGGGCTGCTGCGATGCGGGGGCGCGGGGCAGTCTGCGTTGCGGCGGGGGCGAGCCGCCGCGTTGCGCCGCCGCCAAATCGAAAGCTGCCGGCCTGCCGCACTGCAGCTGCAGTTGCCAGTCGGGGTGAGATGCGGCAAGACGGGGAGCACGTGGCTTGGTGGTGGTAGCCGTCGGGGGCGACCTCCAACGGTGGATCCGCCCGGCTCCGTTCATCGAGCTCGAGTGGCAAGTGGATGGCAGCTCGCTGGAGGACAAGAATGGATGACAGGTTTCGTCGTGCTGTGCATCTTCGGATCTCAAAGGAGTTCACTGGACGTGAACCTATAAATGTGTCCGCTTCTCTTCCCCACGCCCGGTCTTGTCGCTTTATCGCCAACCTGTGGCCATGGGCGCTCCACCACGCACCACCACCACCCCGTCCCCCTCCTCCTACTCAAACCCACCCCCTCTCGCTTCGCCTCCCCGCCAGTCCCCTCCCGTCCCTATGGCGGCCGTTACCACAGCCACCGCCGCCGCGTCCTCCTCCTCCTTCCTCCACCGCCGAAGCCCCGCCCACTGCCGGCGCGCCACGCTCGGCGCCGCGGCGTGGCACTGCCGCCACTCCAGCTCCAGGCTCGCCTGCCGCGCCGCCGAGGTGTCCGGGGCCGAGCCGACCTCGGCCGCGCCGGCGGCGGAGGGCGCGGGAGGAGGCGGGGGTGCGTCGTGGGTGCCGGTGGTGCCGCTCGCCGCGCTGCCGCGCGGGGAGCGCCGCGTGATCGTGCAGGACGGGGAGGAGATCCTGCTGCTCTGGTACAAGGACCAGGTCTTCGCCATCGAGAACCGGTCGCCAGCGGAGGGCGCCTACACTGAGGGTCTTCTCAACGCCAAGCTCACGCAGGTGCGTCTCGACTCGAGCTCACGCCAATGCCGGCCTGCGCCGCGCGCAGCTGACTATTAGCTTTTTCGTGCCCGCGAGTGACACAGGCCGACAGGCGTTACCTGTTCTGGATACCGTATGAAAAAGTATGAAGACAGAAAAAGATGGACAACCAAACCCGTCGAAGTACCCTTGTTTCAAACAATTTACAAATTCCCTATTAATAAACTTCCCTAGCTGGTTCTAGAGTTTGAAAAGAAGTTAAAAAGCTACTTCTAACTTGTGTGCTTGGTGTGAGCAGGTATCAACTTTGTGCCTGTTTTGTCTGTACCGAAATGCATCTTTAAGTGATTTTAGGAACTCATGTTTGCATAAAATGTATCTGACTACGCGCAGTTCTTTACCCGCTTCATGAACTAATGAAATTACTCTCGTTTATGCTTGATTATAACAAATGTCACCCTTACAAGTGCTCACTAAAGCTTTATTGGTTTCAGAAGCCCATGAGTCTTGTCTTATGCACTGTCCTATATCGCTTCTGTTTATGTACATTTTACAAAAGTGAAATGTTCGTGGTAGTCTATCGTTCAGCCATATCAAGCTTTTCAACTTCTAAACCCTGTCATCGAAATTCGAACATTCTTTGAAGGTTTTGGGCAAAAGAGTAAAAACACTCGATCCTTAATTTCTGCTGACATGTCTGAAGCGTCATGGGTAGGGAGTAATAATACCTTTCTTGTGTATTACTTAGATGATATGATTTTGTTTTCTTTTGCGAAGATGTGACCTTGCATTTTCTTTTTTTGGTGTTTCAGGATGGGTGCATTGTTTGCCCATCAACAGACAGTACATTTGACCTTCGCACTGGGGAAATAAAAGAATGGTATCCCAAAAACCCTGTCCTAAGGGCTCTTACGCCGGCTTTGAGGAAACTATTCACTTACCGTGTGAAAACAGATGAAGAAAACATATACATCAGCATCAGTGGGTCTGATAGTGTAGGATCAGCGGAGATTATATTTAGTGGGAAAGCTCAACCTGGCGTTACTGCATCAGATGTCAATGTGGAAGAGGTATCAGATTTTTCCTCATACTCTGCTAGCCACCTTCGGACATTTTTTTTTCTGTTCAATATGATTCCTGCTTTTCTAACTAACTTCAGTCTACATAACTTATATCTCTTTACGTTTTCAGGTGAGAATGATAGTCGACGAGGATGTCGGAGGTTTCGGTTTCACCAGCGAGAATGAGCTGATCAATGGAAAAGCCGCTATAATTGGCTTTCTCTTGTTGATAGATTTCGAGCTTTTAACTGGCAAGGGCCTTCTCAAGGGGACTGGTTTCTTGGACTTCATCTATGCAGTTTCGGGAGCTTTTAACTGATAAATATGTTTGTTCCTTGGTATCAGAGTGCCATCAAGGTACTTGTCTACTTGACTACCCTTAGAAGCCTAGGTTTTGTCAGCGTACAGTTGAGTGCACGAGCAGTTGTGCTTGTAATTGAACACCATGCTTGCCTGTAAAGTGAGGAACAGGAGAGTTATCGCTGAATGTTTCTTGTTAATCTTGATTCTATATGAAATGGGTTTTGTGTCAACTTTCTGTGACTGCAGAAAGTGTGTTTGATTGGGGTTAGTTAGTGCGGCCGAAGGGGACTACTTGTCCTCCAAATTGTTGCTTGCAGACAGGAGATTTTGGAGCAAGAAGGCAATCATTCATGGAGCATCATAGGGTGTGAAATGTAAAACCAGGCTGAAAAGCGGTGATCCGGTTGGACCGCTGCGGCCGCCGGCCGGCGCATCTCATGCCATCTCGCTTTCCTGAGAGCTTTTGGCAGCCGCTCGGATCCTTGCTCGCCCTAAACCAAGAGCCCCCAATCATTGCGCTGCTCATGGATCCCTAAACTGCCGCATCATGTCTTGGTAATGATATCAGTATTAGAGTTCCTTTTTTTCTCTTTGCTTTTGCAGACCCAACCTGGACCAGGAGTAATACCATACTAACAAGCGGAGTAACACTCACGTCGGCCCAGTGTGGAAGTAGGGCCCAGGCGCTTTCCGTGGGCCAGGATGCACGATTGTAATCCAACACGTCGTAGTGGGAAAGTGGCCTTGGTGCGCGTCCGGGCCCAACAGGCTTCGGCTGGGCCGGCCAGTAGCTCTCGTCTTGATCCAATCCAAGGCCGAAAAGTCGCCGTGCCCGTGCTCGGTGGTATACTACACTTATTTCAGGTTAGGGGACAGAAAACACCCCAAAACATTTGTCTCCTTCCCAAGTGGAAAGTAAGCTAGCTTTGGAGCTCTCTTATCTTTTTTCCTCCCACTCCAGGACTGAAAGCGGACGTGAGTGACGCACCAAACTCGTTGTGGTACTGTACGCAATATCCTTTCTGTAAGACAAGGCTCGCTGGAGTTGGCATTCCCTGCGATCCACGAAAGCCACGCCAAGGCAAAGGCAGGGTTGCCACGGCACCGAGACAGACGGGTGGCACGTCGTCCCTCTTCCTTCCGTGCCAGCAACCAACCACCCGGACCCGAGCAGGTGCAGGGTGAGGTTGGAGGAGGCAACAAGACGTGCTCGGTGCTCTGCGTGCAAGCCGAGCAAACCGCGGCGTCCGGTCCGGTGCTGGAAAAACGGCCCACACGATTGTCCTGTCCCTAGCCCCTAGCCGCGTACGGACGATGCGTGCGTGACGCGGGCGCCGGGCGGCATCCCTCGCCCGCCACGGCAGCGTCCGGTGACCATGCTCTGTAGCTTCCGCCACCGGCCCACCGCCTTGCCCATCTATCCATCCATCCGTCCAGCGGAGTGCCACCGCCGGAGACGTGCGCCCGTGGGCACTCCTGGCTCCGTCTGTCGCGGGTCGGCGGGGTGGCACTTGCGGGGACGGCACCGGGGTCTTGAGTCTTGACAGGAGAGGATCCGCGAGCGCGCGCGCAGTCAATGGGGATGGACGCACGCAGCGGCCACCGCCCACGGGCCAGTGCGCAGTGCGGTGCACGTGATGGCACTAGTGATGGGGCGGGCGTCCGTCCGTCCGTGAGCGCTGAGCGCTCGCCGGCTTGCTTGCCGGGCAGGGCCGGGCCGAGAATCGTCTCGCCCAGGACGTGCCGGCGTCAGTCACGTCGTCCGTGCACGCCACGCGCCATGCATGGCACCGTGGTGCCCGTCGCGCAGGGCACGGGCACCCTCCTGCCCTCGCACTCCCCTCCCTCGCTGCAACTGCAAATGCCAAAAAGCCCAAAGGCAAAAAAGGCGGACGTACGCGTGCGGTCGCCTGGGCGGGCGGGCTCCGAAAGGCACTGCCAACTGCAAAAGGCGTTGCCTTGCCCCAACGCGCCTGATGCCTTGCGCTGCATTGCTCTGCACCGAGTGGCATGCCACATTGACCCACGAGTCACGGCTCACTGGCAAAAAGCAACCGCTGCTGCTCGTGGCGTTTCCGCCTGACGAGCGAGTCGAGCAAGGCAAGACCCACCCGTGTTGCCTTCTGACGATGCCCGATACGCCGACCACCGGCGGTGGTCGGTGGACGAAGCGCCCGCTGCCTGCCGGTCAAAACGCGCTGACATTTGACGGGGGACGCGCACGCACGCCACGCTGTTCATACCGCCTGGCTTTGGCACCGCACGGCGGTCGGTCATCGCCAGCTGGAGAGAAAGAAAGAGGACAAAGGCGACGACTTTTACTAGCGCGCGGGCGCGGCGCCTCTCTGTCTGTCTGTAGCGCAGCTCACGAGAGACGTCGGCGGTAACTTTTGGGTTCCCTTTTTGGAAGCGGCGTGCTAAACAATCTTGTATTGTAGCAAGATTACGAGGTGAATGTGGGGGGATCCAATGTTGGTAGGCCCGTCAGCCGTGAGGTGAGGACGGAGGAGGGGCGGTGGCCATGGCGTGGAAGCTTCTCCTTGCGCTCCCGTTGGGAAAGGCGGCGAACGAGCGAAGAAGAGAGACCCACGACACGACGAGAAGGAATTTCGTCATGGCGGAAAAGGCAGGCGGAGGGAGAGGGGAGTCGCAAGCGCAAGCAAGCAAAGCCCGGAAAGGAACCGCACCCGACCGTACCTTGGAAACCGAGAGGGCACTGAACGCAACCACCGGGAGACACGAGACGTAACTCGTGAGAATGCCCTGCCTTGTTGGCTTGTTGCCCATGGCCATTGCTCTTTCATTTTCAGTTAAAGGTAGAAGGATATACTACACCAACGGGCAATAGTAGTACTAGTACAGTTGTAGAAACTGAAATTACTGCCGGTTTATAGTGCACTGATCTCTCAATATCTGCAAATGCAAGCTTAAGTACAAATTATTCACCGGGTTGCATTGCAGTCATGGCCGCCAATGCTCCCATCCCATTGAGCAGGACTAGGACTCGAGTGGCTCAAAAAAGAGAAAAAAAGAAAGCTGAATAGGAAGAGACGGGCACGGGGAGGGCAGTTGTGTTTGGACTTTCGACGGGGTTGAGTCCGGTTCACGCCACCGCCGCTACCTTATAAAACGGCGGAGCCGACGGCCCCCTCTTTTCCGCTCCTCCCCACGACGAGGGACGCCGAGACGACGGATCCCATCCATCTCCTTCTTCATCCCCATCCCACCACGCCAAAAATCAGGTCGCCCATGTCGTCTACTATCTGACATCGATCGGCCAGGCAGATCAACCCACACAAATCCACACAAAAAAAAATTCCAATCCTGCTTCGATCCCGTCGGCCGACGATGGAGTGCCGGCCCGGCGCGTGGCGCCTGCATCAGCAGCAGCAGCGGGGTCCCGGCGTGCCCGTCGCGGGCCTGCCCATCGGCTTCCGCTTCCGCCCCACCGACGAGGAGCTGCTGCTGCACTACCTCCGCCGCAAGGCGCTCGCCTGCCCGCTCCCCGCCGGCGTCATCCCGGACGCTGACCTCGCGCGCCTCCACCCGTGGGACCTCCTCCCCGCCGCCGCACCAGGTACCACGCGTGCCTCTCCATCGCCCCACTCCCCGCATTGCCGCTCGTCCACTTCCATTCGCGTCCCTTACCTGACTACGAGTACGCGCGATCCAACGAACGAAACTGCAGGGGCAGCAGCCGACGCCGACGGGGAGCGCTTCTTCTTCCACCGCCCGGCAACGCGGTGCTGGCGCAAGGGCGGCGGCGCGGCCAGGGCGGCCGGCACAGGCGTCTGGAGGCCGTCCGGGAAGGAGACCCTCGTCGTCTCGCCGCGCTGCAAGCGCCCCGTCGGCACCAAGCGGACGCTCGTCTTCTGCCCCCGCCGTGGCGGCCGCGGCGGCGCCCGCACCGACTGGGCCATGCACGAGTACCGCCTCCTCCCCGCCGGCCTCCACCTCCATGGCTGCGCCGCCAAGGCGCCTCAGCCCACTAATGTAAGCGCCAATCCTGGCTGGCTTGACGTAGCTCGTGCTTCGCGACGACCGTACGGTGGCTAACTTGCTATTTCATGTACCTGAATCTGTAATCCAGGTGAGTTCCCATGCCGGTGGTGGCGCGGCGGCCGACTGGGTGGTCTGCCGCATTTTCAGGAGGGCCAGGCCGGCCCACCGCGCCCGCCTTGGTGGCGGCAGGGAAGAAGAAGAAGAGCACGCGGCGGCGGAGAGCCCGTCGTCCCCGTCGTCGTGCGTCACCGACGCCTCCGAGACCGTCGACCAGGAAGAGGATGACGGCGATGAAGGGGGCAGCAGCAGCTGCAGCGTCGCCTCCTCTAATTGAGACTGAGTAGAAGAGTTGGCTAGCCCGTCGATCAAATCGCGGCGCCATGTTCTAATTGCCGTAGAATCCTCATTTCGGCAATTGATCACCATTTCCTGTGTTAATTAGCGAGAAATTAATCAGTTCCCTTTCAGCAATTGATCACCATTTCCTGTGTCTAATGTTCTTTCACAATAGTAGCTCATCTTGTCTTGTTTTGAGAAGCAAAACAATCTCACTCACTCGTTCGCTCAACCTCTGTACTGTACTGTGATGCATTTTGCTTCCCCGTTTCGATTTCTTGCTGTTGTTGTGAGACGACACCAAAACAAGCGACTGTGCCAACTGGCAGTGATAAAACCAAACCAAGCAGGAATAGGAAGCTAAAGCAAGTCAAGCCCCACAAGGAACCGATGCCCCCCAACAATCTGAATAGCTTCAGTGACAGCAGGACAGGGCATGTATACAACACAAAGCAAGAATCACCAGGCACAGAAAAGGGTCGCAGAATAAAAGCTGATCCGAGGGAGGTTGAGCTTGAGCTTGAGCTGAGCAGTGAGCAGAGACCAGAGGATGAGAAAGTTAGGCCAGAAAGGGCAGCGCACTTAGGAGGATGCAGAAAAGGGAGGCGACGATAAGGTTCGAGGTTCCTGATACTCCTCACTCATTGCTGCCAAGAGGGCGTAGAGCAGAGATGCCTT